AAAATTTATTATTTAAGATTTTTTTAAAATTAAAAAATTAAAAAATATAAATTTTAAAAAAATTAAATTTATAAAATATAAATAATATTAAAAAATTAAAATACTTCCAAATTTTACCAAACAGGCTCAAATGTGATGATGTGAATGCCTACTTCAGCTGATAATATGAAATTATTATTTTTTAAAACAGTGATAATATGTGATTATTAAAAATTTTTTTTGGATAGAAACTTAATTTCTAACAAAAAATAAAAATAAACTTTTATGAAAAAAAGAAAAAAAATCTTTTTAACCAAAAGTGTTGTATTCTTTAATAATCTCAATTGCATCATACTGCACTACCCTATCCTTTTGCTAAAATTGCATCTAATGCTGCAGCAAAAATCCTAACATCAGACGGTTCAGACCAGCATTAGATGTATGCACATATAGATACAACAAAAACCCTCAAATTAAAAACAACGAAAATGTAATATGCTAAAGTCTAACAAAATTTGTGATCAAATAATATAATCAGACCACTCAGAGATGAAGGAAGTATGATCCATGGACTCCCCAGGACACTCTTCATGCCTAGACGGCGTTTCCTTCCCTCCAACTAGCCTAGCCGGGTTTCCCACTGCGGTGGTTCGCGGCGGTACATCTATCAGCACCACTGACCCTGCCCCAATTTTTGCTCCTTCCCCAATCTTCACGTTTCCCAATATGGTTGCCCCAGCTCCGATTAGTACCCCATCCCCAATCTTAGGATGCCGATCCCCGCTCGCTTTCCCAGTTCCACCGAGAGTAACGTGGTGCAGAATTGAGACGTTGTTGCCTATCACCGCCGTCTCACCGATTACCACGCCGGTTGCGTGGTCGAACAAAACCCCTTTCCCGATCTTTGCTGCCGGGTGGATATCAACGGCGAACACATCGGAGACACGGGAATGCAACGCTAGCGCCAGAGGCCGGCGGGATTGTGTCCACAGTTTGTGAGCTACTCGATGAGCCTTAATATAAAATCAAATTCTAAATCCAAAAAATATATATATATCATAAAACTCGATCGATCTCCGCAATTTTCAGAACGAATTTTACCTGGCAAGCCAAGAATCCCTTGTAATTAAGCAGGCAATGAGAGAAGGAAACACAAGCAGGATCCCTTGTGCGAGCTGCGCGGAGATCGGCGACGGCGGCGGCACGAAGGGAAGGGTCAGAGGAGAAGGTATTGAGGAACAGATCATAAAGGAGGGTTGAGAGGAGCGTCGAGGAGCAAAGTTTGTTGCCGAGATGGAAGGAGAGCGACCGCTCCAGCGACGAGTGAGAGAGGATCGTGGAGTAGAGATAGCTAGCTAGAGCAGGCTCCGACTCGGCGTCACGTCGCACCTCAGCTTTTATCTGTGACCACAACCACTCCTCGTCGCCCTCAGAGGATGTAACCACCTCATCTCTCGGCGGCGATGGCTGCCGACGCTCATCCCCAGGCATCGTTTGACGGAAGAGGCGGATAGGCACAGGACAGCAAAAGTGCGTTGTGGTGTGAGACGCAAGAAGAGAGAACAGAATGCTCCCGAGCCACGCGAGAAGTATCGGGGGTTGCCGAGTGAGCTCTACCATATATTTGTAATTAAATTATAATTTTTTAATATTATAATTTAATTTATTAAAAAAATTGTTTTTAATCTAAACATATTACTAAAATTATTTATAATAAATAATAACAATAAAGTTCATATTCATATTATTTTATATATTTAATTTCTAAATAAAACATTTAACAAAACATGTTTCTTCCAATTCCATAAAACTTCATTAAAAATCATTTATTCAATATATATATATATATTTTATAAACTTAAGCTACAAATTTTTGAATTAAAAAAAGAAAAAGAAAAAAGAAGAGAGGCCTTTAATCCGGCAGCGGATTGCTGCAGCGCCTTGACACAATGTCCGGCGCTGCAGCAAGATTCAGCATTTCTTTGGGTTGGCGAAAGAAAACCCACCATGTTCCTTGCTGAGAACAGTTTTTATTTTATGACCCCATTGCAATGGAGCAAAAGGAAAGGAACAATGAATTAGAATATGATTGTACATGCTTTGAGCATATCTAAGAGACACTAGATGGGAGGGTGTAGTGATGACTATCTTTTGTTTCAAATAGGTAATGGGAGTTGAACTCCTAACAAATTAAATTCAAACATTAAGGTTTAAAAGATGAATTATTGATCTTGAAAATCTAATTTATATTATCTTTTGTTAAAACCATTCAGGTTTTAGAAATGGTTTAAAATAGTTAATAATTGATAAATATAATTTATATTTATTATTTAATAAATTAAAATTAATTTTTAAATTAATATTTTTAAATATTATAATTTTATAAATGAATTATTGATCTTGAAAATCTAATTTATATTATCTTTTGTTAAAACCATTTTGGTTTTAGAAACGGTTTAAAATAGTTAATAATTGATAAATATAATTTATATTTAATATTTAATAAATTAA